GGACTGCAGTCCAGATAGTCAGATCCCTAGCTAGGACCATAGTAATGAGGCATGGGCTAGCCCTGGGATTAATTCCCAGGACTCCAGAGGGATTTACACAGCTTACACTGAAGTGTGCACTGCTGTAGCTTTGTTACATCGATTAGAGCCAGCTCTGGCAGGTCTATGAGCAGTGGTCACACACTGGGGTTGCAGTGGGGACACTCCCTGAGTCTGCACCCACAAAAGCCAGGATGCTAAGAAAACAGGGATTACCATTCTAGAGGCCATTTTTGACCATCTGGAGTGAGCTGTCGTTTGGGGCCCAATCCTGCTCCTAATGCATTAACTGCAAAGCTCCCATTGATGTCACTGGGAACAGGATCGGGCCCCGACCAAAAAAACTCTACTGCCGAGCTTCGCCATGGCACCTCAGCTCTGCTGTTTAACGCAGGTTTGCAGGGATTTTGCTGGTGCTCAGAGCCAAAAGGCTCTGGGAGGGAGTTTGGGTGCAGACTTTGGGAGAGATGGCAGGTGGGGCCGGGGCAGAAACCCAGCCCCAAACTTTGACAGAGCAGGGCCCCCAGGCAAGGAATATTCCTTGTGCCCAGGCAGCTGCCAATGTGGTCAACCATAGTCAACCCTCTGACTTTACCCAGCTGCATGTTGGGAGAGAACCATAGAACCACAGAGCTGGAAGAGACCTCAGGAGTCATCAAGTCCAGCACCCTGCCCAAGGCAGGACCAATCCCAACTAGATCAACCCAACCAGAGACCTGTTAAGCTGAGACTTAAACACCTCTAGGGATGGAGATTCCACCCCCTCCCTAGGGAACCCATCCCAGCACTTCCCCACCATCCTAGGGAAATAGTTTTTCCTAATATCCAACCTAGACCTCCCCCACTGTAACTTAAGACTATTGCTCCTTGTTCTGCATCCGTCACTACTGAGAACAGCCTCTCTCCATCCTCTTTGGAACCTCCCTTCAGGAAGTTGAAGGCTGCTATCAAATCCCCCCTCACGCTTCTCTTCTGCAGACTAAACAAACCCAACTCTCTCTTTGTCATGAATAAAGGAGAGGGCTCTGGAGGGCAGGGCTGCCCTGGCAAGCGTATGGAAAGAAGAGCAATAAATAAAATGGACTCGTGACTGTGCTTTGAGATCTTTGGAGGGATGCAGAGAATTAGCCTCATTCTCTCTCTTCAGGGACTTCTCAGCCCCCATCACCGTGGTATCCAAGCTCCATCAGTTAACACATCCTCACAACATCTCCGCACAGGTGGGGCTATTTCCCTCGTTTCAGACGGGGGAACCTGAGGCTGATACAACTCGTCCGAGGTCACGCAGGATCAACCCAGACCACCTGAGTCCCAGTCAAGTGCTGTAACCACACGGTCTCTCCTCTTTCGGCACCCCGACACCCAGCCCTATGGATGGCCTGCCTTGCTCACTACTCGGAGACCTGGGTTAGGATCCTGCCATGGACAGCTGAGTTCAGACGGGTGACGGGAGTAACACTCCAGACATCAGGGGCAGAAGAGGCAGAAAGGGAGTGCTCACTCGATTGATCAGCATCCAGGGAGGGCGCTCACCTCCAGCGGGAGGATGAGGCCATCAGCGCTGGTCGTCTACAAAAAGATGGAACTTCAGAGGGGGTCTCAGAACAGAGTGTGGGGTGGAGGGAAACATGAGCCAACTGCGCTGGAGAGGTAGCCCCTGGGGGCCCGCTGAGAAGAGTACAAGATGCTCCTTTGCCCCACCAGCAAAAGCTTCTTGCAACATGGGATTAGTAAACCGAGAGCTACCACTGCAAGTGTGTTTCAGCTGCGGTTCTAGTGCTGCTCACTGCCCGAGAATGACTAAGATCCAGACAGAACAGACAGATTCGTGGCTGAGGTTCACTGCTACTCAACATTCTCTCTCTGATTACTACTTGGAAACAGTATGCTGACCCCTTATACTGACGTACTGAAAGGTGGCCTGGGGAGGGAGTCAAGGCACTGGACTTGCAAGTCAGGAGCGCTGGGTCTGAGCTCTGCCACAGACTCTCTGTGGGACCTCAGCCAAGTCACTTAAACACTCTGCATTTCAGTTCTTCCTCTGGAACACAGGGATCCCACAGCTCCCGATCTCTTACCTGTGCTTGTCCACATAGACTGCGAGCTACTAGGCAGGGACAGTCTCTCAGAATGCATATTCACAAGTAACGGGGGCACACCTGGGTGGTGCACTGGTAAGAAAGTGGCCAGCTGGGGATGGGGCCTTAATCCTGCCCTCTGTCCTACCCTTCCATCCCCAGCAGCCAGGACCTCAACACACAGGCCTGTCAGGAGCGTTCCGGGTGCGTGGCACAGGCAGCCGGGACCCCGCTCACCCTTAGCTCCCTTCCCATGCCTTGGATCCCTGCCCCCACAGCTCCCATTTGGCTGGGAACAGGAGCAGCACAGGGCAGGGTCACCAATAGGGGTTAGTCTCCTGTCCCACACTCCACACACACACCCCAGCCCCCTGCCCTGACTCCTGCATCCCACCCCATCCCACACACCTCTAGTCCTGAGCCCCCCCATCCCAACCCTGACTCCTGCACCCTCCCACACACCCCAACCCCCTGCCCGGACTCCTGTACCCCTCCACACATCTCAACCCCCCCCCCCTGGCACTCTCACTCCCACTTACATTTCTTACAGGTACTGTTGTATTGCAACACCCTCACACTCTGCCCTGAGCACCTCCCTCCCCACAAGGGGAGCAGGTTGGTGATAGGACAGGACCTGTAAGAAATGTAAGTTACTTTCACCCCAGCACCTGGCACAGCCTGATCTCAGCAGGGGGCTGGGGTGCTGCTATAAAAGAATCCGAATGTCAGGTTGTTTCCCGCCCCAATAGGTGACAAGGCAAAGCTGAGTCCTTCTAGACCCCCTCTTCTCACTCTTGTTTCAGTTCCAGTGCTATTTTCAGCAGCTGATCATCAACCAACTGGACACGACTGCTTTATGCCACTGGCAAGCCGAGCGCAGTGGACACTGACTGTTCTGTTTCTCCAGATGTGACTCCTGACTATCAATTAGAATCAATATAGACCGTGCTTGGTCCTGCCGTGGGGGCAGGGGACTGGACTCGTTGACCTCTCAAGGTCCCTTCCAGTTCTAGTGTGCTAGGATTCCAGGATTGCAGGAGGGGAGGAAGCTCTCCAGCAGGCAGAAAGCGCGAGTCCAGGTCAGAGATCATGCGCCTAGTCAAGGCCAGAATAATGCAACATTAGGGATGCAAAATCTTGTATAACTGGTTAATGTGATGCTTAACCAGTTCTCCCCCCCAGCCACAAGCTGGGCCCACAGTGGGCAGGGGCTGTTCCAGACAGCCAGAGTAGTCACTGTGTGAGGCAGACCCCGCAGAGCTGGAGCAGCCCCCTGTCCACAGCAGCCCCCACTGGTTAATCATTCACATCCCTGTGTGACACACCCTGATGGAGAGCTGGGTTCTCAGCTCCTTTGCAACTCACACCACTGGCCTCCCTGTGCAAGACACCAGACCTGCTAATCTTTCCGCTGGTCTCTAGCAACCATCCCCTGGAACAAGTTCGGGGGGTGACTATCCCCAACCCCAGGCCGCAGGAGAGCTGGGGACAGGGAGGGATGCATTCACATCCCTGTGTGACACACCCTGATGGAGAGCTGGGTTCTCAGCTCCTTTGCAACTCACACCACTGGCCTCCCTGTGCAAGACACCAGACCTGCTAATCTTTCCGCTGGTCTCTAGCAACCATCCCCTGGAACAAGTTCGGGGGGTGACTATCCCCAACCCCAGGCCGCAGGAGAGCTGGGGACAGGGAGGGATG